CGCCGAATGGTTAAGCGGAAAGCCCCTTTCTCGACCTCGCTTGGCTCGCACATCGTAATCAACTGCTCCGAAGTTTCTTGTTGAGAACATTGATACCCAGATCCTCATCGCTCAAAACAACTTTCTTCCTCGTTGCCTGTCCCATCGTGGTAGAGATGTTCAGAGCCTTACCTTGTTGCTCATTGTCTGATTCACCTGAGTCGGATGACGATTCGGAGGACCCATCATCCCCGACATCGGCTGGAGCTTCCAGAGACCCAGCAACCCCCGCGTTGAGTGTCGACTGCAATTGGCGCTGTGTCGCAAGCCACTGTTGGTATGTGCTGAGCTCGTCGCCTTCAAGTCCTTGTCGCCTGGCGTCCGTAACAGTGAGTGCGCGGCCACCGCCATAAACAAGTTCGATGCTGTCATTGCTGTCTGACTGGTCGATCGAGACGCCGTCTCTGCGTTCCTGCCACCAGTCCCACAAGATCCTTGCGATAGATGGCTGTCCACTCTGAGCAAGAGAAGGCTTGTCAGTCAGAATTAGTAGATTTCTCGAGTCCTTTGCAAGCTCTCGGAGGAGCTCATGAGAGAAGCCCCACTCCAAGCTGTTGTCGCTCGCGACAATGACTCGACCATCCGACCGTACATTCTCTGAGGTTTGACTCAAGAGTTTTCGTATTTGTGCCTCTCGTTCCACAAGCCTCATGAATCGGAAGTCGAAGGGCGCGGCATCTTTTGCATGCTTGCCGTCATTGCCGTTGGCCTTCCGTTGGCCATCCGCCGTGGCCTCAAACTCGCGGACGATGTTGTCGTCCATCCATTCGAGCATGCTTCGCGCATATCGCAAGGTGCTAGACACGTTACGGCCAGCCAGATACAGCTTAGCCGCTCTCAAAGCGCTGTCGGTCTTACCTGCCTCGAGCCTCCACGCATGTTCGAGAAGGTAAGCTAATTCCAGCACACGTCCGCTCGAGTCTGCAGGGATGAGGACCGTTCCTCCTCGGCTCACACACAGCTTGATCATGTCAATGAGTTGTTCGTCGCGTTTGCGGCGACCACCAGATGGCGCATTCCTGTCGGCGCCGCGACTGCTGCAGATAAGAGCTGTCGGTTTGCGTAGCTGCTCAATGACTTCTGCCCCGCCAGCTCCCGCTCCTCCGAGCCATGCGGCGCCAGCGAACACGTTTTCTCGAGCCTGATTCCAGTCTACAGCATAGACGATCGACTCGAGCCCATGCTGAATATGCCATATCGTCCCACCGAGGGTATGGCCGGCATTAAAAGCCGTGATTGTGAGGCCATTAAGCGGTGGTGAGAATGGTGATGGTAGAGGTTCGTGCGGTTGTGAATATTTCAGTGGTTGGATGAGAGAAAAGTATCGGGTGATCTCTTCGGGTGTCGGGGCCTGGAGCAGGAAATTGCTACCTGTTGTAGGTTGCTGCGAGTAAGAGTATGCGACTTCGCTGAGGGAATCGTGCGGAATGGTCGTTGCGGCCCGTGGCGTAGATGAGTATAGATCCTGGGTAAGTGTTCGTCCGAGGTCGATGACTGGCCTCGTGGCGTAAACGGGTATCCTGGTGAACTGTGGGAAGTTCTTGCAGCAGTGGGCAAAGGCTGCCAAATGCGACGTCGTTGCGTGTGTAAGAAGGATCAGTGATAGAGTCGGCACCTGTCTGGCAAGGAGTCAATGATAAGGAACGGACGGGAAGGAGGCTAGCGCAACTCACTTTTCGAGCGCTTTGAGCTTCTCGACATCAAAAGATTCATCCCATCCAAGATCTATCAGCACCTTCACTCCTCCATCAAGCTCGAGGATAGATTGCGAAGCGGCTGATTCGGAGCACGCGCCTTGCAGCGGGCAGAACGTAAACATTGTTGATTGTGGGTAGCGACGATGCGCGATGCATCCCTAGTATTGTGGCGGTCAAATAGGGATATGATTGAATAGCGCTGACGCGAGTCGCATGGCGATCCTGTTGGGCTTTCCCGGATGATTTGGTTTTGCGGAAAGGCGATTCGGCACCAAGGGCTGCTGAGGTTGATGGTGGACCAGGCTTTGGCGGTTGCATCAAAGGAATCGCAATGGAGATTGTGGAAGCACCCAGCTCGTCCTGTAAGCTTCAAGTTGAGCGCACGGATCATGCTTGCGAACCTGGCAGTCATCCGTCAGACTAGTCCGACACTAGACTAGCGTCGATCAAGCTGTTGATCGGAGCGGATGAACTTATCGGAAAGTTATCGTGTCACTTCCAGATCCTCGGAGCTTCGAACCCAAGAAGTCACGGAGGCCACGAACTCACATTCGAAGACGCTGCAGTTTGGAGCGTGATTTTGAACTGCGACTGGCATGGCGCACCTGTAGCGCACATTCTTCTCCACCGCCTCCAGATCACATTCGAAGACAGGTCGCCTCAACGTTGCCGCGCACGTAAATCTTACTGTCTCGCACCAGCGTTTAGAGATAGCACCCAGGCACCTTCGCATTCACACACACGCCACTTACGCCAAGGCACCGCGACTATGGATTTCGGGATGTATCATCACCTGGGACAGACGGAGCCTGCAGACTCCTCGCATCCCGAATTATCGAATCAGCCAGCGGCGCCCCAATTTCGACCTCCCGTTGCGCCCCAGCCGTATCACCAAGGGGCGGGTTATGCCGCGACCTCCCCGGATCAACAACAATATCATGGCGGGCAGTCAGGTCCTGGTAATCCTTACGGGCAACCGCAAGGTCAAGATGGGTTTCAGAGCCAAGCACCTCCGCAAGACGCCGGTCTTGCCTCTCAGATGGGTGCCATGACATTAGGCACTGGAGATGTACACACGAAGAGGAAGAAGAAGGACCGTCACGCTTACCATCAGGTAGAAGCTACTGGATCTTCGCAAGCATTCAATGGTATGCCAGGCGCAGGGACGCCAGCCTCGCAGTTCCTCAATGCCGATCCGTCACTCTCTGGACCTGGCGGGCAGTTCCTCAATGCCCAAGGAAGTCAATTCCCTAGCCAGGTTGGCGCAAATATTGCGCCTGGTCCTCTATCTCCGAATCCATTCAACGCCCCTATCAACAGCATCAGCGATGCAAGTCCGTCTCCCGCTTTTATTCCAGCTTCTGGGCAGCAGGGTGTGACCGCAAACGATATGCCAAGCGTGCCCGTTTCGAGAGACTCTGTTCAACAATACTACCTCGGCAACGTTTATCCCACTTTCGAAAAGCATGTCCCGCCACCAGCTACCACCTCCTTCGTAGCGTTCGATCAGGGCAACTCATCGCCGAAGTACACGCGGCTGACGATGAACAACATTCCCGCAACGGCTGAGGGCCTCGCCAGTACCGGCCTTCCTCTCGGCCTTCTTCTACAACCCCTGGCACCTCTCCAGCCAGGGGAGCTTGAAATTCCTGTCTTGGACTTTGGCGACACCGGTCCTCCCAGATGTAGGAGATGCCGCGCGTACATCAATCCATTCATGATGTTCCGGTCAGGAGGCAATAAGTTTGTCTGCAACCTGTGCACATATCCCAATGACACTCCGGCAGAGTACTTCTCAGCGACAACGCCCCAAGGCGTGAGAGTGGACCGTGACCAGCGGCCGGAGCTCACACGTGGCACCGTAGAGTTCGTCGTACCAAAAGAGTACTGGACGAAGGAGCCCGTCGGATTGCGGTGGTTATTCCTCATCGATGTCACTCAAGAATCTTACAATCGAGGTTTCGTGGAATCTTTCTGCGAAGGCATCCTCGCTGCATTGTATGGGGGTGATGGCACAGACGAGCCAGATGAAGGAGGCGAGACAAAGCGTAGCATCCCAGTCGGTGCCAAGGTTGGCTTTGTTTCTTATGACAAGGATATTCACTTCTACAATGTCAGCGTAAGTTTTCCTCCGGTGAATTGGGATCAGGGGCTCGCAATAACTAACCAGCCTCCAGTCAGCACTCGATCAAGCTCAGATGATGATCATGCCTGATCTCGAGGATCCCTTTGTACCTCTGAGCGATGGCCTCTTTGTTGACCCATACGAGTCGAAAGATGTCATCTCATCTCTGCTGACAAGGCTGCCGGAGTTGTTCTCCAACGTCAAGAACCCGGAGCCTGCTCTGCTCGCAACACTTAATTCAGCTACGGCCGCCCTGGAGAAGACAGGCGGTAAAATCGTGTGCGCCTGTTCTGCACTTCCTACATGGGGACCCGGCAGATTGTTCCTGAGAGACGAAGGCAAGCACCCTGGCGGTGAGACGGACAAGAAGCTTTTCACAACCGAGCACCCTGCCTGGAAGAAGACGGCGGAGAAGATGGTGGCCTCTGGAGTCGGTGTCGACTTCTTCCTGGCTGCGCCATCTGGCGGATACCTCGATATCGGCACCATTGGTTATGTCGCCTCCACGACGGGCGGCGAGACGTTCTATTATCCCAACTTCATCGGAGGCAGGGATAATGCTAAGCTCTCTATGGAGATCAAGCACGCGGTGACACGGGAGACCGGCATGCAAGCGCTGATGAAAGTCCGTTGCTCGAACGGTCTACAAATATCGGGTTATCATGGCAACTTTGTCCAGCACACTTTTGGCGCTGACCTCGAGATTGGTGTTATTGACGCGGACAAAGCCATGGGTGTGACGTTCACATATGATGGCAAGCTGGATTCCAAGCTGGATGCTCACTTCCAGTCCGCTCTACTGTACACATCAGCCTCTGGTCAACGCAGAGTGCGATGCTCCAACGTGATCGCAAGCGTCAGCGACCACGCAAGGGATTGTGTCAAATTCATCGACCAGGATGCTGTTTATTCGATACTGGCCAAGGAGGCGAGCACAAAGCTGGACACGACGTCAGCAAACCTCAAAGACGTTCGAAACTTCCTCACGGAGCGAACCATTGATGTCCTTGCGAATTACCGCAAGAACTTCCTCACACAGGCGCATCCCCCGAGCGAGCTGGTCATGCCCGAGAGGCTCAAGGAGTTTGCGATGTACATGCTGGGCCTCATCAAGTCGCGTGCTTTCAAGGGTGGTAGTGAGAGTACAGACCGCCGTGTCCATGAGCTCCGCATGGTCCGGTCCATGGGCGCCCTAGAGCTGAGCCTGTATCTGTACCCTCGCATGATCCCACTGCACAACCTGCAACCCGAAGAAGGCTTCCCTGACGAGTCCGGCCACCTTAAGCTGCCGCCAACAATACGGACGTCATTCTCGTGCGTCGAGCCTGGAGGTGTCTACCTTGTGGACAACGGCCAACAATGTCTGGTCTGGTTCCACGCCCAGACCTCCCCCAACCTCATCGCAGATCTGTTCGGCGAGCAAAACACGAGCCTACAGAGTCTTGACGCCTACACGTCCTCGCTTCCCATCCTTCAGACGCATCTAAATGCCCAGGCGCGCAACATCATTGAGTTCCTCAAGACGATGCGTGGCTCAAAGGGTATGTCCATCCAGCTTGCGCGTCAAGGGATCGATGGTGCCGAATACGAATTTGCGCGCATGCTGTTGGAAGACCGCAATAACGAGGCCCAAAGCTACGTTGATTGGTTGGTCCATTTGCACAAGGGAGTGCAGCTCGAGGTAAGCAACAGATCAACAGTGCCCACGGCGTTGTCCTTCCTTCACCACGACTGGTAGCACTACTGACCGCTTCCCTATCCAGTTGACGGGACAGAGAAAGCGGGAAGATCAAGCGACAGAAGGCGGTGCCCTGTCCACATTCAGCGGTCTTCGGCCTGCTTACTGGTGACGGATTCATCAAGACGACAGGGTGGAATCGACATGTGGGTGACAGCATATGGGGTTGGGAGCAATGGGGCAAGGGGCCATATGCATGAAAGCGACGCGGGTGTCTACTTGTTTAATGGAAAAGTATAGTCGACAGTCGGTAGTGATGTTAAAGTTGATTTGGAGAGCAAAAGGTGACGTGAATGCGCACAACCATTTCCCAAAACCAGTCCGTCAGCCGCTGGCCACGTGCGTATGGGCAGACCCATCCCTTGTTGGAAATTGTAGCCGTCCAGTTTCACCGTCATGGGCAGTCGGACTGGCCGAACTCAACTCGGCGGGCAAAGCCAGTTTCGTGCTTCGCAGCCGCTGCTTCCCACCCGGTACGACCACCGACGAGTCACATCGAGTCTATGCCAGCAGCTGCGAATCTTCACATGCACTGAAAGTATCTCGTCTCGGTTGGTGGCTGGCTGTTCCCTTTGCCAAGAAACATTTCATTCGGTCTGCCAGTGCTCTGTGGTACCCGAGATCAAGCCCCTGACGACGTGAAGCGTCTCATTGCGTGGCGCTAAGCCCTCGCGCATTGAGTCTTCTGGTAGGTGTAGATTTTTGCCAGCACCTTCAACGCTCACCTCTGAGGGGCCATAGCAAACACCACCGAGATAGAAAGGAGTATCAGCTCTTCGAAGCGGCATCTTTCAGGGTAGTCACCAAGGGTGGATTGCCATGTGCTCGATAACCCATGTTGCAATAAAGGAGTGCCGGGGGCGATTGGCTAGGGGCACGGGGTGTTCTACTTGTCAGTTCTCACACTTTCGAACATTATTATCAGCCCCATCAGCTCCGTTCCTCCTACACTGCACCGATCCGACGCCTGGCCCAGTATTTGGGTTTCTTTTGCGCAGACCGGTGGCTACATGGCGTATAGCGCTTGTTGACCGGTGTCATGGATCTTGTTAGCCTTGCAGAGAGGTAAGAGTGTGAATCAGAGAGGGAACAGGGCGGCCTGTTGATGTGATATGTGATATTTCCGTGGGGCGGGGAGCCCGTCAGTCGGTCTTCATTAGTGTCACGACAGAAACACACGACTCAACCCACGCGCCACCCACACCGTGCTTCTCTTCAATACTCCCTATTCCCTGCCCACATCTGGAGTTCTTGATTTTATGTCTCAGTCCCTGGAAATGTCGGGTGTCTCTGGAGCAAGGAGGGCGATCTCGTCTGACGCCAGCGCGAGTGCCTCTCGAGACTTTTAGTCCAGCGAAATGGACATGTCGCTAGCCGCGGGATGGCAACAATGGTGGTGCAGGTGACACGACATGGAAATCCACATTTCTTGGCATCTAGCGGCTTACTACCTTGGCCACGATCGTAATACGGCTGGTCGTAGCTGGCGTCGGTGGCGCGTATGAGTTTTGCCCTGCTCAAGGTAACAAGGCCTCCCAGAGACCGACCGATTTAATGCACACGAAGACATGGTGGTGGTGCTTCTCTCGATCCAGCGTTGCACGGAGTCTTGTCAATCTGGACGAGTCATTTCTTCAAGCTGCCTTCAAACACAGGGACCCAAGGGAGGGACGCTGCAGAAGCGCGGGAGCCCCTGCGTCGTCTATACGATTCTCGCGGAGTTCCGCGGCGACGAAGGCAATAATCCAGTCAAGACAGTGCGGGCTCCATCCTCCTGATGTCAAGGGTATCCCGTTCTCGACGAACGTCAACAAACAGGCGCGTGTGCCTTCCCGAAATTAGGCTGCCCGCGCCCGCCGGCCGCCCGATCGACTTAGTCGCCCAGATGCGGCGGAGCTATCAGCGGTCTTGGAGCCGCCTCCCGGTGCGCCGCCCTGGCGGCGATCTCATGCAGTGCGCGAGCAAAATGGAAAAGAAGAGCAGCTGGAGGAGGACCATGCACAGGCAGCAGCATCATTTGTTGGCGCGCGAGTGCTGCATGCACGTATCCTCTACGTTGAGTGGACTGATCGCCGCCGGGGTACCAACACGATCCAGACCCGCTCTGGCTCTCTGCAGCTGGTCAAGACCGCTGGACCATGGAAGATTGGATTCAAAAACGGGAAGTGCAAGCAAGGTCATGGCGATGGTGACGACACACACATTGCCAAACTGTGTGAGACAGCAACGGATGGATCGTACGGGATCAATTGTCTACACCTGAAGCTCACGGGGAAGGATGTAAAAGCTAGCGTAGCAGGTGAGGGGTCGTACAGAAGTGCAATCCTGTCTCAGATTCCCTTGTCAATCTGCACAGGAATTCCACCACTACAGAAACTCAACCGTTGGCTGCTATATCGTCGACGGGTGTGGTTAGCGCAAATGCATCTTAGCTTGCATCAGGTAGTCAACCTAGGGAGGCTATCCAAACCTCAAGAGCCTGTAGACGCCAGTCAACCACGTCTTCAAGGAACAGGGGCCGGGTCCCGGGTGGCACTGGTGCGTGCATGGGCATGTCAACCAGACACATATTGTTGCTGGACCTGCAAAAGTCGAGGCGCCGAAACATCGCTAAGAGCATATGTCATGGCATGCGACATGTCTCTTCGCCCATTCTACAAGCCCACTCATCGCCATACATTACAACGGCGCCTGTCGCCCAGGATCAAGCCGCCTTTGACTTAGAAGCCCCTCGCCTCTTCATCGAGGTCTCACCCTCGCTCACATGACTGGCTGTGCATGTCAGCCCATGCAGAGTTCGACCAGTACCGCGTGGTCGGCGCCGTTTTGTCTCATCCAAAACGAGTCATCCCCTACGGCCCCGCCAGCACTTTCATACCATCGCAATTTACCTTGGATCTCTGTCTTTCCTAATGTATGGAATCCCGGAATGGCTTGAGTGCTGATCGAGGAAGCAGACAGTCATGACCACACTACCTACCCTTTAGGAGCAGAAGCATCGGAGTCGAAAGCAGCCGTGGCAATGTCTCGGGCCTTCTCACCCTGATGATACTAAACCATCGGCGCTCCATGCAACAAATGCTGATCTGCAAGCAACCTGTCAGAATCGATATCTGACAAGACTGAGTCAGCCAGTCAGGAGGTCTGTGAGCAGAGTCGTTCGAGACTTCGGCCTTGTGTCCCTTTATCAGCATCCTAAACGGCCTGCGGCACCGAGCAATTGACCTCAATATTGTCAGTACAAAGATGCGCTGTGCTGATCGCGCGGGACGGACCGGTAGCCTTCTCGGAAATCAATCAGGCTTGTAACGTAAAATCTTCTTGAATCGAGCGTCCGCCCGGCATTATCACATAAATCCGGATGCTAAATCTGTAGAACTTCAGTCCTTTTGGTTGGCGCTACTCATTACCCAACCGCGAGCGCCCCAGCGACCTACTAGACATACAAAGCTGAGTAGCAATCGACCAGCACCAATACTTGACTGCAAAGAAGGAAGACAAGTAAGTCATCAAACTGTTCGGACCCATGCTTCTCTTCACCCGAGGGGAGCTTGCCATCAAACCCTGATAGCGCGGCTTCTCCTTGCTCGATCCGCGACCGGAAGTCAACTCCTAGCCCATGACGTCTTCCGGGTGGCGTCAAAGTTGACATGTCTCAAATGTCGCCATGTCGCATTCGAACAAGAGGTGGAAATGTGTGCTGTGACTGAATTCTAGCATACTCAGCTCTTGGAGCAAAAAAAAAAAAGAGGGCCAAAGCGACCACAATTGCAACCACGGACGCCGTAACCGACCCTACGAATGCCATCCGGCAACGTCTCTTCTGCCGCCAACCAGGGAGAGCCAATATTATGATACTACCACTAAGAGAAGCCCATCACTCCTCAGCCCAGAGCAAATCTTGGAATAAAATAAATGCTGCCACGGAAATATGCGCCTAGCCGACACGCGCCATACCAATTACCGCTCGGTGATCGTGCGCGAAACAGACTTCCAGGCCACAGCGCCGTGAGAGAAAGAAAGTAAAAAGAGAAAACCCCGACAACTGCCTCCGTTCCCCCTCGTCAGTGGCTTTGACGATTGAGCGGGCCAGATGGCTGCGGCGACTTGGCGCTGTGAGCATGGGGTATCGTTTGCTCACTAGTGTTGCCGGGAAGAAGGAATACCAAGGCTCGCAGCCTTGGGGCAGATGAGACGTGGAAAGCCCGCACGCAACCAGAACCATCGCACTTTAGACCAGACCGAGATTGAGAAGGGGTTCTGGCCAGGTGTACGTTGGTTGCGTTTTCTCACTAGCCCATCTCAGCGCGGGCCACGCCGGGGCCAGGAAAAGAAAAAAGCATGTATGGTTGGGGGAGGGGGAGAAGGGGGGGGGGGGTGGTGGTCAAGCCAGCATCCCTGCACGCCAGAGTTGGAGGCTCAAGCACCCCCCATGATGGTCGCAAAGCCATACCGTGGGTCAATCTGGTTGCGCACTCTGGCGACTTCCGTGTCGTTGAATACTTCGCTGAAGACACGAAAGTCGCTTTTTTGCCCCGACGAGCCGCTGCTTGAACTACTCCCCGAGGATGACGAGCCGCTTTTGGACCGACTTTTTGAACTGCTGCTGCTGCTCCCGCCTTTGTTCTTCTTAGCAATGTCGTCGAGGATGTGCTTTACTGTGCTTTGCTTTTCGTCCTCAAAAACGAAAACGACAGCAAGGAATTGGCCACGGAGGTCCGTGTCCCACAACAGCACCTCCCGCCAAAGCTCGGCAAGCTCTCTTGGCGGGTTTCTATAGCCGTTCCCAAGACCGAAATCGCCCACAACGACAGAGCGGAATTGTTGATAGGCGCAAATCCTTAGGGCGGCGCGCATCTTGTTCATGACGAGCTGTCGCTCTTCCGCGAATGAGTACTTCCGACCCCCATCGGTAAGTTTAGGCCACCTCGTAGGAGGCATCGAGACTACAGGCAGCGACTGCCAGTCTTTGACGTCTAGTGACTCGATGCGGTCTTGGTCATGGCGGAAACGTACTATCGTTCGAACTTAGTTTGTGGTGTCGCATGTCTCTCATGCTTGAAAACCTACCGACATGCGGAGAGTAGATGGCACCCTCAATGGGAATGGGATAGTTAGAGTCGACATAAGTGGCCGGATCTGGTGTGCTCAGTGTCGCCGACAGATTGCTCCGGCGACACAACCTCTCCTGTGGTACCGAGGCCGATCAGCATTTACTTGCACTTCTGCGCCAGACCGACGGAGTGACGGAATAACGGTGCCACAACAGTCGGTGCGCCTACCTCGTAACCAACGACTCCCGTCTCCCAATCACCACCGGGACGCTTCTCATTTGCTGAGCAGATGAAGGGAACGGCGGCACCAAGGGACTCGGCCCAGCTGATGGCAATGTTGACCGGGTCACCAGAATAGACGTCCATATCTGTTGTCAGCACGACATCATCCAGCAGTTTCCAGGGAGGGCTGGGATTGTACGTACGAAACTTGGGGAGATCGGGGTGCATGTGGGGTCCACGGGGTAGGGGGAGGTCGACAAGGGGCTGGGGATACAAGTACGAGTAAGGGGGCCATTTGTTACGGTAATGCTTTGTGACTTCGGGGATGAGCTTCCTCTTCGTGTCGGCAGCCACCTCGGAGGGCTTAATCTTGAGGGGCTTGGACGAGGGCATGGTGGTGGTTGTGGGTGAAAAGGCAATATCGTGAACAAGAAGATGGGGTCGGAAACGACGGAGGGATGATGTGGGCAGACAAACGCGATACAAAGGGGGAGGAGGCAGGGCGGAATGTAGCTACCATACGGCCCCATTCCAGGAGTCCCTCGTGGGGTTATTAAATACTCCCCTCGACTTGACGGCACTCGACCGGGCATAAAGTGAGAAAAGAAACGCCTCCAGCATGCCAGAGGCGAGCGGCCAGAACAGGCGAGAGCGGTGGGGGTGGAGAGCGATTGAGATGTAGCACCAACCACCAATACTCGCCGGATCTCAGACATTTACAGGCGGTGGGGGATTAGACCTCGAGGAGGAACGGGTTCAGAAGCTGTTGGACTTGATGGGAGATCATGTCTGCCATTGTCTCTGTTGTCTGCCTCTTGTCTCTGCCTTCCATCAGGCCTGTGGTCTGGCACTGCCAACAAGACCTGGGCCGTGTGTCCATGGCATCCGCGATCTTGGTTGGCGGGACTTGATCTCGATGGACCTGCAAGGTGCCGCCGTTATACGAGATCTCTGTGTGCTCGAAAGGATGGCACACTGGGATCTCTTGGGGGCTGGCCTTGCACAGAAGCTGGAGTCAAAGATGCGGTGAATGGGTGCGCCGAGGGTCCACGGTCAGGACGGTCGCGGGGTGGGAGAGCTGAGAAGGGTTCAGGCGCAGATTGTCTTGGAACGCCAGATGGACAGATTCTGGGCAGACTTGCCACAGATCTCCCAGAGCCAGGAGGTCGTTGCTTGATCCAGATGGCGAAGCAAAGTAAAGGGGCGGGATCGGTATGATCTGATGGCTTGACTAGGTAGAGGCGACGTCACTCGAGCCCGAAGAGCAACTCGTGGCTGCCATGCTGGCGGCCGTCGCGACGAGACTGCGACAAGGCAACTAGACTAACTTCCTATGGTTAGCAAAGAGACGCGGCCCGAGGCAAGATGTTGCGACGGCGTCGATTCGCGACGGTGACGACCGGTCAAGGTTCACGGTCATGTCAAACACATGAAGACAACGACGGGGGCCAAGTTTCGACTTGTATGGTTGGCGCGTCCCAAGACGCCTAAGCACATTCACCGGACACGGTCGGAAGTCAAGAGTCGTTGATTGATCGCGCTCGAGATGACGATATTTGCAACAAACAAAGGCGAATAAGGTGGTGATGGCGATGAAGGAGGTGCACGGGACGGGAGCATGGGAGGATGTCAATAGACAGATGATTGTCGTTCGAGTCCAGGGTGAAGGGGATCGAGCTGTCTTCAGCCTGCCTGCAGCCTGCAGCCTGCGGGCAGGCTATTAACCCCCCTACCCTCCCCCCCTTGTCCTGGGCGCCCACCCATGTGGCTACTGATTACACAGTCAAAGTACCGGACACGCTGTACTCTGAACGCAGCACAAGGAAGGAAGGATGACGCTGACGCTCTGTCCTGGTAAGAACATATAGCTTGTTGGGGTCTGACGTACCTACTGACCTACTTACTTACCTACCAGATAGGTACCCAGGCAGGTAGGTACTCAGCAGTCAGGTCCCAACCCAAGCTCATGAAGCTGGTCCAAGCTCCAGAGTGAAGCTGGCCCATGATAGGCTTAGCTGAGTCCCACTCGAGCCGAATCCGTGTCGCGGGCTTCGTCGCGTGTTCGTCTTCCAATTCACGACTACAAAGCTTTTGTTTTTTTTTTGTCACAGCATCCGTATCGCATGGACTACCTGCTACCAGCACCGTCCCGCGTCTTGTTGCAAACCCCGCCCCTCTTCATGTCGCACGATGACGGCCATATATTCTCTGTCATAATTCTGCACGCCGGACAGCACATCAATCCGCATCTCTGCACGAATGCTCTCGATAAGCCTGGACACCATGGCCTTGAAATCAGGGGCCGCTTTATGCTCCCGCTTGAGGCTCACGCCACCAAACCCAAGATTGTTCAGCAGTAGCTGCACAACCAGGAACTCAGTTCCAACCAACGCATTGCCATCCGCAAGGCCTGCCCGCACTGTTGCGCAGTTCCTCGAATGGAAGCCCGAAGCCGAAGCTACTAATGTCGTAGTCAATGGCTATGTCCGCTCTGCAAGGACTATGAAAGCTGATGTGTTTGTCCACATCGGCGATGGCTCTACTCGGAAGCCTCTCCAAGCACTGGTACCAAAAAATATGAATGGCCGGTACTGTTACCCGGAGTTGTCTCATCGCTTCATGCATTGACGCCCGCATAGGTCTGGCCTGAGGGTTGGCGCCGCCGTCCGCCTCCACGGATCATGGATTCCCTCTAAATACGACACTGATCAGAGTCATGAGCTCAAGGTTGATCGAGTTGACATTCTCGGTGCTTCCGACTCGTCTGTAGGTTCTAGAAGCTTCACCGTGGTGCACGGCACCGCCCTCTGAACCCTGCTGACCCATGGCACCTATCGTAGACTTATCCCATCCAGAAGAAATACCAGACCCCCGAATACCTTCGCACGATTCCTCACTTACGCTCCCGAATCCCTCTGAATGCCGCCATTCTTCGCCTGCGGTCAGATGCTGTAAACGCCTTGACTCGGTTTTTTTCCTCCCGCGATTTCACACAGACGCACCCGCCCATTGTGACGTCTTCAGACTGTGAGGGTGGCGGCGAGGTCTTCAATGTTTCCGTGCAGACCCGGGAATCGATGGCCGACGATACTCCAGAGAAGAAGAGGGGCACAAAGAATACAACTGACACATTCTTTCGTGGACCCAGGTACTTGACCGTCTCGACACAGTTGCATCTTGAAGCCCTCGCCCAGTCCGTCGGCAATGTCTGGACACTATCGCCTACTTTTCGAGCCGAGCGAAGTGACACTTCGAGACATATGAGCGAGTTCTACATGCTAGAGGCTGAGATGCCCTTCGTTGACGAGATGGATGATGTCCTGGAGCTAGTGGAGGACATGCTACGCGAGGTGACGACCGATATGTATCGAGATCGTGCTGCCACCGAGCTACGAGAGAGGCGGGTGTCTAGTAATGCATCGCGGACCGCGGAAGATGACCTAGTGTCTGCTGATGAAGTTGAGCGCCGTTGGGCCGGCATGATGCACAGGTCGCCTGCCAGATGGCCTCGCATCCGGTATGGCGACGCAATTACTCTCCTCCAAGCCGAAGAGCACCGTTTTGAGCACAAGCCGACATGGGAGGATGGTCTGCACTCAGAACATGAAAAGTACCTCGCGACAACCCTGGGCTCAACAGGCGAAAACGGCATGTACCAGCCCGTCTTTGTCACTCATTATCCCCGGGACATAAAGGCTTTCTACATGCGGCCCACAGCGACATCGGCCCAGACCGCTGGTACGAAGGATGATCCCTACAGCGGAGCAAACGAGCGCGGTGCGACCGTAGACTGTTTCGACCTGCTCGTTCCTGACCTCTGTGAGATTGCTGGCGGCTCCATGCGTGAGCATCGCCTGGCTGATCTCCAGGAGGCTATGCAAGCTCGGGGAATGGTCAGTTCTTCCGGGACACCCGGATTCAATGGCCTCGATTGGTATCTTGACCTTCGACGCTGGGGGTCCTGCCCACACGGCGGCTTCGGCCTGGGCTTTGACAGGTTGCTAAGCTATCTCGCCGGCGTGCCAAACATACGGGACGTTGTGGCCTTTCCCCGTTGGCATGGGCGGTGTGACTGCTAAATCGGTTGCCTGCCTGTGTGACAGGCACACGAGAGGGCTTTCATGGCCATCACGAGCCCTGTTTCGGCCTGCTACTTTCGTTTAGCTTTGCCTACCTTGGATCGCGACAGAGGGGCCTGTGTGACAAGGGTACCGCATCGCAGTAGCGGTGATCTACGCCCATGTACCCTCAAAGACTCGAACTTCACTGATGTGACCAAGACAACACGTGCCACCATGCCTCTGTTTTCTTGCAAATTCTACGCCAAGCATGCAGCAGCAGGGTACGATGCAGTCCGTTCATAGCCGGTGGCTTGCCTCTGACAGATCAGCAAGCAAACAATAGGATTGGTGACTGTCCGCACAGCAGGCTTGACATGTCACACAGCCTCCAGCTGTTTCGAGAAGAAAACTCTTTCGAGTAGTACAGCTTAGAACCTCGTCTTGGAACCTCGTCAAAGTTAGATCCAGCACTGCGGGGTGTTTCAGCCTGGCTGATCGTATATTGTGTCACACGAGAAGCAGGTCGTGCTCAGCGTAGTATACTATGCAATGGTGACTGAGTGGATGCATTCTCTGTGGTCTATTCAAGTGATCGAAAAACGAAGGGGGCCAACGGAAGACTTTTGAAGCTATGTTTTTGTACAATGACCTGTACCATTATGCAAATGACGTGCTCTCCAAGCGCTATATTACTTGGTGGCTTTCAATGAGCGCTCCTTGTATTGAACGGAACTGGGGCGGCAGTTAGATGTCGTCAAATATAGATTTCTACGCCTGTGCAGGTTTGAAGTTGTTGTGTCGAAGGCGCTCACGAAGCGCCGAGGGTGGGCTGACTCCATTGTTGCGCCATATGCCCTGATCGCCAATTTCCAATCTTCCAACTAACTGTATGTATCTCGAGTTATCCGCCTCATTGACCGCGCCAGAAAGCCTGCAGTAGGGAACAGGCTGTGCAACGGCATAAATTAATGTAGCTCACAATGACCATGATCTGCATCGTGGCTGGAGCTTCACCTTACCTTATCTGCTGACATCCATTAACCTCAACTGCTAAAGAACAAGTTGATTTGCACCATGTATTGCCTGGGCACCACACAGTTGACCTTGGCAGGCTCGGCATGTCGCCTGCATCTTCCTTCTTAGTTGGCCTCGTATAATCTCCTGCCTGCGGTTGACAGGTAACGTCTACAGCACGACATGTACATACACCCTCGGCCACGTACCTCCGTTATCCTGACGATTATCAACAAGAGCTGCAGCCTATAACCATTACTAACCGGAGATCTATTCGACAAGCCACCTCGCATGACTCCTCCGTTCTGAGTAAGGTTTATGACGACCCCGCCAGTCATTGGAACTACCCAAGCTTCTTGGCGAAGTCTTATCATTCAACACTGTCCCAGTTGGCCAAAAAGAAGTAAAGCCACTAGCTCAGGTTGCATCAGAGAAACGCCTGTGGTCTGGCGTTGACTGCGGAGATCGATAAAAGCCAACTCAAACATCAACTTGACAGCCCCCCTACCACTGCACACGGGATGATCCTACTAGCAGGCAGGCGAAAAGTGATACAGGCGGGAAGAGGCGAATGTCTCAAAACATGCCGTAATAATGTGGGACGGAGCAATGAATAAGAATCCGTTACTGCCTTTTGGTTGTATGACGGGCAGTCGTGGTCGAAGCCGTGGGCGCCATGGTAGTCAAATCCGAAGAATGGGGCATCTCCGGCATAGCATGACGTACGTTCAAGCGTCGAAGGCGCCGTGAGAGCCGTTCCAAAGGCACTTTGTTGCAATTCAGCACAATGGGCTGACCCTCGGAAGGGTCACCTACTGACAGAGAGTCAGGGTTCTCCACGTCACAGGCCCATGAGCGACTAGGTGCAGTATTAAGGTAAGTGTCGGGACCTGGACTGAGGAGACAAAACTATCATCATGACTCGCCGTGCCGTGAAACCCGAATTCCGAGGCCAGCCTTTCCCCAACCTAGAGTCATAAGCGCAATTGAGATACACACAGCGCAGGTTCAAGTGGAGAGTCCCGTCCGGCGGCGCGGCCCCTGCTGATTAACGTCAATTCCGTTTGCGTGAATGTTGGATGACGGGTCCGCCTTAGCCGGGCCACCTCGCTGGGTGCCACGAGGGCGTCCGTCAGAGAAATGGTACCATAGATAGCGTGCCCCCTTCGACAAGGCCAACTCTAAAGCTGTTGCGTTTTGAGTGGCAGCCCTGCATGCCATGCTAGTGGGTGGTTGGGAGGAGTCGTGTCTTTCAGATCGCTCACCAAACGAGCGAGCTGCCTCGATAATTAGCCTACGGAGGGGGGGGAAGAGAGATACATGGTGGCTTCTTGCGAGCCCTGGGCACGCATGGCTTGGACTTCCTGGGCGATGTATTGGTTGTGTCAAGGGGGGCCTGAGAAGCTTACGACAGCATTCCTGCTGCTCATGTTGCCGAGCTTCTCTTCAGGCAACGCGAGCCTTGGAATTGTTTGGCATCACGGACCTGAGCAGTTTAAGTAACAATGCAAGGAGTGAACTTCGGCTGGGACAACTGCAAAGAGTTCTCTTTCTTGACTCGTCATGCAAGGTGCACAGTAGAGCTGTATTAAGCTTAAGCAGGCCCCTGGGTCGACTTCGTCTCGGAAACCCCCTTGTGGCAGACAGCGAAAAGCCAGTTCAAAAGGGGGTGGGGTTCAGCCCATAACCGACATGGGCGGCCTGTGCGTTTGCTTATCCCTCTATTAATGACCCGACTCAAGCCTCTCGGACAGCTCCGTGACGCCAGTCTAATCAAAGGGCGTGAAAGTGAACCAAGCGAGTGGTTAGGAAGTCATGCGAACAAACAACTAGAGAGTCTCCAGCGCCCACTAGCCGAGCCTATCGTCGTCGTCGTCAGCGGTCATCCGGTCATCTTTATCAGAGAGACGATGAGGTGCCCAGCAGCAGCCTTGAACAAAGGAGCCACTCCACCCTACCCTGTTGCCACCAACCCAGGTCCAAAGAAGCATTTGGGACAGGAACACACGGCAAATCCAAGCATGCACGTGGCCCGCCATAGCCGAGCGATCCACTTCGGAAGCTGACCTGATGAGGGACGCGAAAGCAGCCAGGACAGCCCTCGTCAGTTGTGGCTTAAACGGTTGCATACCAGGTGACAAGTGATATATAAATAACAGTGTAGGAGCTCCGTTTGCCTTAAGAGGATCGTTGAGGATCAAGGAACAGGGCGATGTTCCGAGGCCCTTTGCATTTAATCACTTGCCCTTCAATACTTCATTTGTGTTGTGACCGCATTACCTCAAGCCTGTAGTGACAAGAAATTCATAATTATGCTGGACGTAGAGGAACCTTGAACAATCGTGGTAGGCTGTACCACCATTCTTCTGCCATTCGTTGCGCCTTTTTCTTGCCTCCGTCAAGGACCGCTAATGCACTCCAGACGGACAAGTCTCCGCTTTGGCAAATGGGCCACCAAGCAGAGCGGGGAGGGGGCTGACTTCCAGAATGTCTTCTATACGCAATAAAAATGTTCGCGCCAGGCCGTGAAGCCTTGGTCGCTACAAGGATTCTCATTGTCAGCAGCCGCTTAACCGGGGGCCAGATTGGTGGTTGGGAGGATTGATTCCGCGGCGGGGGCGATCACTTAAACGGCGTCCGTCTTGGCAACTTTTATTTCGTCGACGTGATCGCTTCTCAGCCGAGATCTGTTAAGGGGACTTCTCTCTAGCTTACGAGTGACTGCCGAAAATGTGCTGCAGATCAGTCACTCGAGGTGCTTCTGATACTGATTGCATTCGATAATACCAGAGGACCGGGTTAACTCAGGCTTTTGATTCAAGTCAAGATCCAACTGGCCACTGATCCTTGGCTGGCTCGCTGCACCATGTGGTTTGGCCTCTGACGTTTGCAACCGAAGTACATGTGCACCTATCATAGAATTCGAGTGAGTCGCATAGGTATGTGTCACAAATTGGTTTACAGGCAGTATGCGATGTTCCTTTAGTGAACAGGTGGAGTAGGCCCGTCAAACCCTCGTAGGAAGCCTGGTTACGTGCCAGAGATTAATTGTGTCTATCTTTGCGCGGTCGAAGGGTTTCGATGCTTGTACGTGTGCGGTAAGCCCCACAAGCATGCACGTATCTTTCAATCACTGGCTGTGCCGATTAGCCGTAACGTAACGCTGGACGTTTCTGCTTTGAGCGTTTGATGACAATTTTCTGGGACACCGGGTAGATCGGTGCGACGAGTCATTTGTTCGCTCTAACCTTCGACCAGGGTTGGGCGGGCGAAGTCAGACGTTGGGTGGCTTGAGCGGCAATCATTTACCGTATGCGTACATCAACTTTCACACATCATGGTCAGGAGCAGAGCTGAGGCAACAAGTCAAACGCCCACCCCAAGGTGCAAATGGAGCTGATAGCCTCAGCCCATGAGAATGGTCACGTCACCTAGGTTAAGGCGATTCAAGATACCCATTCGGAAGGGCCGGGGTTTGAAATTACGCAAGTGACGTGGAGCAAAGCGGATTGCAGTGCTGGTGCTCGGGGCCGACATTCACACCCGTCTCACTTCCGTTGTGGGAAGTTTCTGCGCCGTGTTGGACGTCAAGCCCTCTCTTTATGCACACACACCCTCACCTTTCCAAGCTCTGTCGATCGATTTTTCCATAGCGTGCCAAGAAATACCAAGAAGCACTAGGTAGGGTGGCTGACCACGCTTAAATTCATGCTTAAACCTGCTCGTGGTGCCGTGGCGTCTCCAGAGCCCACTCAAGGCCAGTAGATCCGTCTTGGCTTTCCTCGGGTCATCTTGGCTTGTCTTGGCATTTTGGTCATGGTCTCTTGGCTGATTTTTGTTTGGCAAATATGGTGAACATTGGACGATAAAAGAGCCGCATTTTGCCTTTTCTAAAGTATCACTTGATGTTCAATAGCTCTCTGACCAGCATCTCGTTCCGAAACGGGTTTTAAGCACTTGATGCAGGGATGAGAATTTCGTCTGGCTGGATTGGTCTGGTGCATGTCAACATGAAGCCCGGTGGATAGGGTGGGGCCACGGCACCGATTTCCGGCCGACAAGACCGACCATTGTGAGGACGGTCTTGGCTGGGCAGTACTATGTAGTCCTCGTGGTGCTTCATGCCCAGTCTTGCCAGTTTTGCAAATCCATCGCCAAGCAAGACGTCAGGATTATTTTTGTCGCCTGTATCTGCGGAGAACTTAAGACCCTGGTAACTCATTCAAAACGAAAGACAGCAGTCAACGTGAAACAGCAAGATTTGCTTGTCTACGTACGGCTCCAGAACATGCCCACACTGTTCAGCTCTACAATAGAATAACTGACCGATGCGTGTTTCGCGTACCTCCTTAAAACCTCAAGCATCCAGTGCAACACATACCAATGTTCACCACCTCTCCAGGGGGTACACGTCCAGGAGTCACATACCCAGAAGCCGCAATGGATTCAGAAGCATTTGTGTCTCATTTAACCGCTGACAGAGCCCAAAAGGTTTGATGTCCCGCGATACTATAGCTTCCATACAGAGGTGAGCGGTTCTTCGGCAACAGCATCATTATCATTATCATAGGGTAGCCGATGGGAGGTATTGCAGATGTTGACATGCTTCATTGCATTGAGCTCATACCGTTCAAACCAGACACTGGGTGCATGATTCTGCAGACCATGATTCACAAGCAGCTACGCAATGGACACGTCAGTAAGAAAATGGCCATGCTATGGTGAGCAGGTTCATATCACTAAAATACAAGATCATAGCGAGGTCGTGCGACGTGGAGTATCCTGTTATTAGAACCTATAGACTTAGTCCCACGAACATGGAATGGACTGCTTCATTCGCAGCAACGGGCCACAGTATCACAGTCGTTGTCTTCATTGTAGAACCAAACTATAACTGGACGTACAAGGGTCACATTTGGTGTTAGCGTTACCATCGTACAAGGTGGTATAAATTCATTGACCTCGGCGACAAGGCACAAGCGATGGTGAAAGGGGAAAGAGCGCAGCACAAAGAGTCTGCTGGGACCCTGAAAGGCTGTCAGCGTTGACACTGACCTTGCCAAAAATCCAATAGCGATCAGTGGATGGACGATGGGACGGCTAATCGGCATCCCCAGACCGAGTTCTGGAACAGCCGGCACCAAGATGGGCTCGGTGGGCACTGTTGCGTCATCAAGGGCGGGTGGTCTCACTGGCGATCGAGTTTGGATGAGTCGGGTGAAGGAAAAGTCCCGAGGCTCGAGCAAATATGGAACTGAGTGGCTGCCATGATTTGCTGTGTGTATTCAAATTGGCATTGAAAAAACCAAGAAAAAAACTAGCGATCACGTACCGAGGGTCGGAGTCGGTGTCTGGCTAAGCACGAGCTTTTGCAAAGACGGAGTTTCTGGGAATGAGACCTGGGACTGCGAAGAACCACCCAAGCCTCCTGTCAATCTCGGCTGCTAGCCCTGTGCGAATGAATACTGACGGGGGTTGATATTAGGTAATACGACTTGAGAGTCGTCACACATCACAAATAGGAGACTGAATGGCCCCGTAATCACCACGATTAGGGTTGCCCTTCTTTCACAAGGTTTAGCGGCCTACAAAAGTGGATGGGGTGCAGAACATGGAGGAGAGTTACTGCAGGGCAGTTGAAATGCAGCACGTGCAAGCAAATCGTTACGTGTATTGTGCGATGAGTTGACACGTACTTACGTACAAGCGCCCTTGCTCGACTTTGGAATCGGGCAGAACAACCACTGGTTAAGCAGGGCAAGGAAAGAAAAAAAAAGGGAAAGGAAAGAAGCAAAAAAAAATCCCCTGTGTGTGCCCCATTCCCCAGGGAGGGCAGATGCTGATGCAAGGTAATACGCAACAGAACGAAGCTTCGTGATGTACGTATTGCATGCCGTCCCGCCTAGAACGACAAACTCATCATGGTTAAAGTAGCTGCAGTAGGCACCAGAGGTGGAACTGTTGAACCGGCTCCCTCGTTGTTTGCACAATGCCAGGAACGGGATCCTCCCTGGGGCCCTCGTCATACCTTATTACGAGTAACCTTCTTCCCAAGAATAAACTTAGGTGGTGTTACACGCGACAGTGGCCTTCTGCGAAGGAGCCCTACCTCTCGACTGACTCAAAGACTGACTGGCGTCTGTTGTTATTAAGGTTGCCTAAATGCCGTGCTGTCCGGGATGGAGGGCCACTAGTAAAGGAAAAGCTTATTAGTGCGGCTGATGACCAGTGTCGAAATAGGCTTGCGGTGGAGGTAGTCCTCGTAATTGGGGGGCAGGTGTTTATTTCCAGTGCGTTCCCGATGGGGGAACACGTAAACCATCGGTTCCGCCCTGTCGTTTTTGGCCATGACACTGTGGGGAGTGTGTGGAGCCCAAGCTGACTTAGTGGAACTGGGCGGACGCCGCCTGGTGCCCGGCGAGTAAGACATGATAAGACCAGACGGGCAGGAGGCGTGTGCATAGGCGGTCACGATGGATGGGGCACGACAGGGAGAGAGCACAGGAAGGAGGGACCCCAGGATGGTCAGGGGCGGAAGGAAGAAGGGAGGGGGGGCATCTGCTTGGCATGCTCGGCACGGTTGCTTGGCTTTTCTCGGCCCTGCACGTTATGGGGAAGCTGCTGATGCTTGGCGCTTTCCTTGGGCTTGGCCCCCAGGGCTTGGGTGCACATCACTGGCGCTTTCCAGGTGTGCCAAAGCTGCCAGTGCCCCGTTCTTGCCAATCTTGTCCATGTTCTGTGATCCTTCCCCTCGACGGACAAATAAGTGGTTTGATTTGCTTGTCTTGCTCTGTCATGGCATCCGGCCTGGTCTTGGCCGTTCTTGATCCGCTTCCTCATCCATATCTCGCGAGGCCTTTTTTAGAGTGAGGTTCCCTCCCATAGCCCCTCCTTCCAGATTGCGGTTCCTCTTTGCTGGATCTCTCCTCTCCTCCCCTTCTTCGACAACACCGTCAGAGGACCTTACGACTCCAGCAGCTGGTTTTCAGAGAATACAGGACAGAGAACACTGGCTCAAGCCAGAAGCAAGCTTCAGAGAATCGTCCGAAGCCTGCCACGGGCTCCAATCCCCTTGCTGCGTCTCCACCATTCACCGTTCGCTGTGGAAGGACGGACCCATCTCGGATCTTCACGAGGAGCAGTATCAGCTCTTGACAGACACACTTGACTCCTGGCGGATTGGACGGCTCGAACGGCTGTCACGGCTCGACTGAACACGACGCAGCAGGCAGGACGGATCACACGCGCCTACCGCCGACTGCCCACCCCCTTCCCTACAAGGCAAATTCCGTTCAGAACCATCCGTCGCTATTACGCGCGTGCTCTCCCACAAGGTACCAGATAACAGCCCGCACGCTCGGCATTTTAGCACAGCCTGGCTCACCAGACAGGCGCTCGGAATAAGCTTTAGATCGAACGCTGTAATTCCCGTTGCAGGACATCACTTCAACCTTATTCTCGCCACTGAATCGCGCCATCTTGGACTCTATCTGCTACCCAATTCACCCTGTTTACCTAGCGACCACGTCTGCTCTATCTGCACCTGTACAGGTACGGAGCACCATCCTCGGCCCAAGTTGTCTTTCTGCAGAGTGAGTATATCTGCCGTCTCCTCTTACTTGAGGCCATCGCTTCTTTTGGCAACACGCATTTCCATTCTTCTCAACTTGCTTGGCTCTCGGCCCGGTCTTGTTTCGTATACGATGCTTTCGTCTCATTTCACACGTTCGCCCTGTTCCCCTACACATCGAGTCAAAGAGCTTCGGCTTCGGCCCCAGTCTTTCGAGGCGTCGTCACCCCCGGTGCGTGCGTGGCCCAGTGGGTCTCAGCATCTGGTCTAGCTTTCCTTACCAACAACATCCGTCACCCATGCAGTCATACTCACCATTACCCCCCTTTACCCTTCTACCCTCACCCTCGTCTCACCTCACCCCCCTAGCACTGGCAACACCGACACCAACAGCGTGCCCGTACTAAAAGCTTAAACGATTTTGGACGCCCTGGGACGCCACGACCATCTCTCATTGACCCTCTCTCCGCCCTTTTCTCCATCTCCCTTCCGCCTGAACGGCCGCCATCCGCGATCCGTTGGAGCCGAGTTGCCGGTCACGAGCAAGCCTGTCTCCTTCAGGATATCCACGCCCGAAGGCCCCCAGCCAGAGGCGTCTTGAGACAAAACCGCTCTTCGTCCACGTAACCCGCTGTCTAACCTTTTCCACCTTCTCTCGCGATCCCTTTCCCTTGGACACCAGCAAACTGTTTCTTCAACGTCCACTCAATCTCTACGATCCCTTCAGCATTTGCTCTTCGTACACTCGTCTCCGCGCAACGAAACATAACCGTCATCTTTCGGAATCTGGCCCGAAGCGCCCGCTGCGAGTTCGAGCGTTGAGGCTCAGCCACCAATACCTTGTGTGCACTTTGCATGCAAATGTATGTTGCTCTCAGTCCTCCACCCACCACGTAACTTTTCCTCCCAAGTTGTTGGTTCTTTTGTATCTGCATTATTTTTATCGGCAAAGTTTGGCATTGTTTGCCATTCGAATCTCGTCCCCCCCTACTTCATCTGTTTATTAGCGACTCAGGGCATTCATTGGACTGCCCAGTCTTACTTAGGTTGGTACACGATGTGTGCAAGTGCTGCTTCGTCACCTCAGAACCTACAAGGCCTGCGGTCTCGCTTCGGGCGAGCGGGCGGTCTTGCCCTGGAAGCTGCATGTCGGTTTGTGTCAGGATATTATTGGCAGCCAAGCCGCCTAGGATGGCCCAGTTGGCCTCTTGTACCCTCATCGCCCTTGACCCGCGCTGGTTCACTCATTTATGAACACAATTGCTATTATTCAGGGCCCGAGGTGTCTTCTTGATGTCTGGCACCCTCGTGGGCTATTGATCTTCTATTTTATTTTCACATCGAAATACTAATTTGCATCTCTCATTAGCCACGTTATATTCCCAAGGTCCTCAGGCCCACAGAACACGCAGAATCGCCACCTTCCCGCAGGACGTTTCAGCCTGCTCAGATCAAGCAACGTTTGCCGTCAGGCTCGTCTCGGCTTGCTTTAATAGGGGAGCCACCAGGACCTTTGCTCCTCTCAGGCTCGGTTCACCACGGTATACCCTGGTGCGCATCACTGTCCTTAGACCTCCAACTGCGTTGTCTGCGAGCTCTTTTTGCTGCAAAATCGACCTTGCATCCAAAGCTGCGCGGAATCTTGTCCTTGCATTGCTTTGTCCCCACTGCTTAAAGTCCTCGTCATCGCAGACCTTGGTGCCTCGACGGGCCTAGACTTCTTTTTTCACAACTTGAGTCGCAACAGCCCATCAGTCGGGCACACATTAACCACCATGGAAACGTATCATGGCTATGTGCGGACCCCCGCCGATGCAATCAAGCTATTCGAGGCTTGCCGATTAGGTCTCCTCCCCCGAGTCCAACGAAGGCTATCAGAGAAGGAGCGACAGTCTATCAGATCCGGCTCGGTATTTGTCTGGGATGAACGAGAGGCTGGCATGAGGAGATGGACTGACGGCAAGTCCTGGAGCGCCAGCAGAGTATCGGGTAGCTTCCTCACTTACCGGGAGATGGAGGGCAAACGCGGCAGCGGCTTCGGCAACGGTCGTAGGGGCGCTACCAAGACTCCCGATTCGGGTCGAGGCAGTGACGAAGACCAGGAGAATGGCGAGCCTGAAGGCTATCGATACAAAGCCGACGGTCTCATGAAGCAGTCATTTAGCATCACGACATCAGCTGGTCAGCATCTCCACCTCATCTCCTATTATTCCAGGCCGCAACCTGGTTCGCCAGACCTCCTTCAGCCCAGTACCGATTCTCAGCTGCGCAATATCACACCAGTCAAGGGAATGTACCCCGAATCCAGCCTCCATGATAGCAACCCAACCCCTGCCTTGACACGGGCACCTATGGTCTCTCAGCATTCGCCGTATATGGTTCCTCAGCATGCTCCGCAGGGCCTGCCTCCTCAGCCATACGCCTCCCAATACGCACAGCATTCACAAGGCTATGCCTGGCCGCCCTCGCCCGTTGCCACGCCACCTTATAGTCATCATTACACTGCAACTCCTTACTCCCAGCATCCGCAACAAGCACCAGCAGGCGCCCAAGCCCTGCCGCCTCCACATTCTCTGACAGGACACCCTCACGCGGCTGCCCATGGTCAACATTATTCGCAGCATCCGCCACAGCCAGAGCGGACAGCCCTACCGCCGCTAAATTCACATCAGAAGCCCCTCGCTCCGTCGCCTTATCAGTCGCAGCAGCAGTCACCGCGTATCTCACATGCTCAGCACAGTCATCGGCTGGACGGCTCGCCGCGACTTGCGCATCTTCAGGCGCAGGCGGCGCAAGCTGTTGGCATTGATCCGGCGCGAGCCACTCCAGTCTTCGCAACTCAAACACTCTTCCTGCTGTCAAGCACGATGGCACATATCCTCCGACTTACACGCCCCCAAACCGAGCTCTTTCCATTTCACCGCCTCGCAGCTCACACTCGGACAGCCATGTCAATAACGGCGTCTCTGTCTTACACAGCAACAAAGCCAGCCT